GAGTCAAAGCTTGTCTTTCTGGATCTAAGTGTAGCTTTTGACAGTGTTAATCACAAAGCTTTGATTTTTAAGTTGCAGTTTGTTAGTATTGGTGACAAAGTTTTAAGTATTCTGACGGAATGGTAAACTGTTAGACAGCAGTATGTTTATGTTAGCTCAAGGAAATGATTGCGAGTCGGTCAAGATCGCAGTGGCTTCAGCATCGAAGTCGGCTGATTAAGGAGTCTTAATCGCTTCAGTGGATGGTCTGAAGCTCTTTGGTGTAACTCTTCATTCAAAACTTACATTTGAATTGCAGATTAGGAATATGGCCGGGGTAGTTTCCTCAAAGTTAGGCACCATTCGCAAGTATGAAGATTTATTTCTCGTAGATGCTTCTTTTCCTTCATTCTGCCTCAATTTAAGTATTGTTCTGCAGAGTCACACTTACGACCACTTGATTGTTCTTCTAATTCCAACAAATTTCTCATGTCTGACTTAGATTTGGACATGGGGCATCGTAGGGGCTCCTTCAATCTTATACAAGGCTGTAATCGATAATTCACATCCCCTCTATAAATTTGTACCTCAGTTTTCTAGACGTCTTTTTATTGCTATTTGAAGGCTTTGGAATAGATTGCTCTCAGAGATCGTAATTTCTCCGACTCTTGAGAAATTTAAAAGATCAACTAATATGTTCTGTACTACGTAAATAGCTATGTTTCGTGGATCTTTATATGGCTTACCATAATAATAATGATAATGACAATGATAATAATGATAATAACAACAACAATAATAATAATAATAATAATAATAATAATAATAATAATGATAATAATAATAATAATAATGATGATGATGATGATGATAATAATAACAACAATAACATTATCAACAATAATAACAATTATAATAATAGTAATAACAACAATGTTGATGATGGTGATTATGATTATGATGATGATGGTGATTATGATGATGATCGTGATGGTGATGGTGATAGGGATGATGATGATGATGATGATGATGATGGTGATGTTGATGATGGTGATGTTGATGATGGTGATGGTGATGGTGATGGTGATGGTGATGATGATGAAGATGAAGATGAAGATGAAGATGAAGATGATCATTATGATGGTGATGATGATGATAATTACAATACAACTACTAATACTGCTAATAACAGGATAATAATGATAGTAATCATGATAATAATAATGATAATGATAATGATGAAATAATAACAATAATGAAAGTAATAATAATAATAATAATAATAATAATAATAATAATAATGATAATAATAAATAATAACTATTATAATACTACTACTACTAATAATGATTGCATAATGATGATAACGATAACAAAATAATACTAATAATGGTAGATATTATGACAACAACAATAACAATAACAACAATAACAGTAATGCTACTAATGATAATGATAATAATAATAATAATAATAACAATAATCATAATGATAATAATAATAATAATAATGATAAACGATACCATTGATAATGAATAAATCATGATAATAACAAGAATAACATTAATGATAACAGTATCAGCACGGAAAGTGAAATAACAGTGCCAACAAGGCCCGAGGAGTGCCACGTCTCCCGCGTCACCCCCCCCCCCCCCCCATGGCTAACCTTTCCAAGTTCACGTCGATATGTGGGGCTAAAACAGGACAGAACTAACTAAAAATAGCACGGTCTCATAAAAGACTTCCGTTTGGGCCTCCGCCGTGCGCGCGCGCACACACGCACGCACGCACGCACGCACGCACGCACGCACGCACACATGCACGCACACACACACACACACACACACACACACACACACACACACGCACACACACACGCACACACACACACACAAAACACACACACACACAAGAAAAATAAGTAACGTTAAAAATCCTTTTACGTCACATAGCTGCACACATCAGATAGCGAACAGTTTTTTAAAACTATGTACGATGGTTGCTGGTCTTAGCAAAGAGGCAGTTGTTCGTTTGCAAAGGGGGAGAATTCATTTGCAGACAGCTAGCCACTAGAGTGCGATGTCCACGTGGTTAATTTGTTAGCCAAATATCTTCATACATTACAATAACAATGTGGTAACCCTTTTTGCTGGTGCAATCCAAATAAAAAATTCTGAACCGAGTCGTATAGTAGGGTTAATAAGAAAATGATTATTTTGTATGTTTATATGTATACATGTGTATTTACTAATATATGTTTATAAATATATATAAATGTTTACAAACACACACACACACACACACACACACACACACACACACACACACACACACACACACACACACACACACACACACACACACACACACACATATTCCTTCTCACTCCTCACTTTCACTCCCTTCCTTTCTATCTCTCTCTCTAAACACAACTTTTCCAGCGGCAGATGGCAGTCGGTTGATGAGAGCAAGCCACTCGTTACACGGAAATGCGCATACTTAGTCTACACGATTGAATCATCCAAATATTTTGTGAGACATAATGTGATGTGCACAGAACAGCATAATGCTTCAATAATTTTATTCATCTATTTATTTCATAGCTCCAATCCAAACTAGCTGCAGTACGATAATGGAAACGAACAAATAGTGCCGCTTCGACCTATAACACGTGCACCAGGTATAAGTGCAGACAAATCAGTTCCGACCGATCAGTTCCGACCGACGCACCCCGTCCATGGTGCATGTGATTGGTTCAAGATATCAAGCAAATGTTTTCGCTGACAATTATATAAAACAGCCTGGAAACGTGTAATATTTTGTCCAATGCCAACATTATTGTTTGGTATGTGTCACGTTTTTCTTAAAGTATAAGAATTGGAACTGGTCGACAAACATCAATGACGTTTAATCTCAAATCGATGTTCAACAAAACTTTGTTTTTAAAGAGATATAGATGAGTTTCCGTTAAATTTATAAATGTATAAGATGATATGACTCATACATCACATTGTAAATGTAATTGGAAAGGTTTTCTCACCATTGACTCCCCTGCGAATTTATGAATGACAAAATACCAAATTGCTTAATGGGTTATTTGCGTTCACGATTCGTAAGAATCACACTCAAGTCACACGGAGTAACTGCCTTAGAAAATTTCAAGGTTTGCAGAGCTGGAAATTAGGTTATATATTTCCAATAGGTCGTCCGAGATACCGATATCAAGCATATGCCAAGTCTATATCTGTTTCACTATATGCTATACTTTGAAAACATCAAATTTCATGTGTCCGTTTGTTTATTTATATATCCTGGCGATAAGTTGGACTATTCTTGCTGCCAATCTCTTCGCTGATTGATAATTTTGACGTATATATTTGGGATAAGACGGTTCACGTAGATGTCAAATGCACCATGATACCTTGTTAAATGTTAATTCTCATCATCGAGTTGTTTTTATTAAATATGTAGAGAGAATATATTAAAATGACCGAACATGCTCCAAACTATTACATTTAAAAAATATCCCTTGTAAATATGGCATATACTTATACATTTATTTTGCGTTATATTACCTTACATTTCTCTCTTTTGTCTGCTTATATCTTTGCGGCTTCCTGTCTGTGTCTGTCTGTGTCTGTCTCTCGTGGGAAAAATAGAGTGGGAGGGGATGTCTTTAACAACCAATTTAGTAGCCACAGAGACAGTTAAAAAGGGTAGAACACCGCGATTTTTTGTTTTGCAAAATTTCGATTACAGTGACTATTTTGACTGAAATGAAATGATGGTCACTTGCATGAGGTTTCCCACGCATTCGGGCTTGCAACTCGTTTACTTCGAGGAAAATGTTGTACTGAAATAACTGAGGGAGCAGAAGGGTCTGGCTGACGGGTCGCTCCGGCCGCGGGGAGCAGGAGAGCCCGGCGACGGAACTCTCAGGTATTCGGGATTTGCAGCCATATTCATCAGTGATAATCTCCGTCTGAATAGTCGTTTTGGAGCAATATAAGAAATGGGCATACGGATGAGATAAACAGTAAAGATGAGAAAAAGGGAAAAAGTGGAGATTGATATTTAGAATAAGGGTTTCAATATAACCAAGAATATATATGAAAGAACTTATAGTTGAATCTAAATGACTGATGAAAGGAACGCACTCAGTGAGCTCAGACCACCTTTGCCCGAAATTCACTCTAAAAATGGCTGGGTCTCCTAACAGGTGCGGAGCCTTTACCTGCATACTAAGTCCTTCGATGGTTCGGTTCAACTAACTAGTCCGAATAATTCTTCTGACAACCAACTAAATGAAACAAATTATGATATCAAAAAACATTTCCTCCTTCGTGGAGGTGATCGATGAACAAATACAAGCATAATAGATGAAATCAAGTCTGTATTGCCTGAAATGAATAGCTGGTGAATAAAAAGAAGGAAAGATAAAGGAGAGGGAGAGAAGCAGTGGTAATGTTAAAAGGAAAGGCGAACAACTAAACCTTAATGAGGATAACAAGAGCAGGAAACGAAGGCAACATTGCACAACGAGTAGTTTTGGCCATATTAAGTATTGCAAAGTGGATTCTGAGAAACGTAGACAACAAGGAGCACTGAATCTTAATCTTGAAACTCCGCTTTAGCGGATTTCAGAAGCAAATACTTTTACGTAACATGTGATCACGGTGCGCAACGTGATTAACTAATCCTGTAAACTGTTTGGGCCTAATGAAGTGTTTATTTCCCGTCCGTTCCTTCAGCTCCATTGGCCTGTCTCTGCGCCGAATTCGTCTCCGTTATAAGCGAACAAAGCATCTGCTGCCGTCCCTCACACAAGTCCTTTACTGTACCCGGGGCAAAACGCAGCCGGCTGAAGGGAAGAAAAAAGGAACTGGTGTCGCTCTTCTCTGAGCGAGAGTGCCTTTGAACGCGGGGGAACAATCACTTACCAGAGAGGCTTGTGATGTGCATCCCGAACTATTCACTTCCTAAAGGAACAATACTTTCAGGAAGCATCACTCCTCTCGTCA